GGCTGTTATTAGAAATAAGGGTTAAAGAGCTCCTTTAGACGATAATGCTACTGTCTTATCCACGTTAAAAGAGAGTAGATTAGAGTCGGGCCAGGTTTATATTTTAAGTAGATCAGTTAGTAAGTTAATTGCAAACCACTAAACACACTCACTTCTGTCACTTACAATCATTTCTGTCTATGTTAATGTTCTGTGTCAATGCAGTTATAGATTATTATATTATAATTGTATCAGTGCGACTATAGTTTATATTATTGGTTATTGTGGATCCAAATAAAGATACCCCATTTAAATTTTACATTTTAAATTTAGTCAAGCTTATGAATACTGTAGTATTTTTATTAAATCTAATTTATTGTCTTTACTTATTATCAAAGGTTCTACATTTATTAAAGTTTACACTAACACTTACAAGTTTATTAAGTCTTTATTAAAAATATTCACTAATTTATTTCACAATATGTATTTATATTTATTTCCGGCTTACAATTTAAACTCGATATTCAAAACTAGAACTAACTGTTTTCAACAAAATTTACTCTTTAAATATAAAATACCGTTAATCGAGAATCCCTTTGAATTCGGAAGGCGACCCTGTTGAAAAGGATGGAAGGCAGACAGACAGGTTTTTCAGCTGAGTGTCGAACCTACTAGAATAGAATAGAATTAGAAATAATATAAGTTTTATAAGTCATATTTATCGTAACAATACTATAGTTGTCAAAGACAAACATGCCATTGAACCATTTGAACTTCAAAAAATCAAACCAATAAGTTGAATTTTGCTGAAAAAAGTCGTCCATTTTGGGATTCCAAAAAATATGCAAAAAAGTTTACTACTTCTTAACCGTTTCCACGTAAAAAACCGTAGGGGGAAAACGAAATAAAAAACGATTTATCAAAAATCTGTACCTTGTAGAAAAAATGTTTTGAAAAAAAAACTGTAGCTTAGATAATTTTAAACAAAACTGACTATTATTATATTTATGTAGAATGAACCGTTCTCTCAGAAACAAAGCTTGAAGCGACCGACTATTTTAAATATCAGTTACGCTTGCGAAATAAATTATAAATAAAATTTGTATTAACTTGACGGTAAAAATTTGCTATGTTTTTATCAAAGTGTCATATCGACAAAAATCAAAATGCGTTTTATAGGTGAAGAGTGCAGCTTTTCGTATGAATTTTTAAATAACTTTCTCATACGATTCTTATTTACTAAGGTTTGGTACTTTCATTGACCGGTCGTAGCGGTATTTCCTTTGTTAGAACCTAATCTTTAAAGCTTATAGCATGAAATTTTAGTTTTGAGTTTTGGCCACAAATGTATGACATTTGAAATATACTTGAAAAACGCTGAATTGAAACTTTCACGCATACCATTTCATTGGGTTTAATTCGCAGTGATAAGGTGGTAAACGTAGAAATATGTGTAATATTTCCTCTGCAATTACATCAAGCACTTTTTTATCAAGTTCAGATTTTACCTATGCAGCACATTCCAACAAATCCCTTTTTAATATATTACGGTAACAGTCAGTATACTTAGTTTAACTGAATAATTGATCATCATCAACCAGCCCTTTGCGTCCACTGCTGGACATAGGCCTCCCTCATTTTTGTCCATTGTACTCTCTCTTGAGCACCTTTCCATCCAATTTCTTGACATTTTCTTGAGATCGTCAGTCCAACGAGTAGAGGATCTTCCTTAATTTTTTTTGTCTAACCTCGGCCTCCACTCAAGCAATCTCTTCGTCCACCTTTCATCACTGATTCGGGCGACGTGTCTGGCTCGATTCCATTTCAGTGTGGCACTAAATGTTAAAACACAACATTTGGTACCTGAGAATAGAATAGAAATATGCTTTATTGTTACTGAAAATTGTACAATTTTAAGCTTACAAAAAATCAAAAAAAAAAAATAACAGTAACAATTCAAATTTATTAAAATCACATAAATCGTAAATATCACAGAATCACAAAATAAAAGATAATATAATATACAATATACAAATCGGATCACAACCTACTAGTGGCTAAATTAAAAATAAAGTTCAAAATGCTAAAAAAAGACTGTCAAAAGAAAAACCGACATCAATTTACTTAAACAAGAAAATATACAAAGTATGGTAAAGACTAAACTCAACGAGGAATGTGAAAGACTCCAAAGAGAGTTATCACCAACTACAGAAGGCTTATGGACAGAAGTCAAGAATGCTTTTACTAGCGCCGAGAAATAATAAAAGACACTAATAACAAAAGAAAATCTAAACCCTGGATGACACAAAAAATTCTGGGAATGATGGATACTCGAAGAGCCTACAAAAATAAAAATAATGAAAAATATAGGGAGATACATCGTCAAATCAAGAAAGAAATAGCTACCGCAAAAGAAAATTGGATGATAGAAAACTGCCAAGAGATCGAAGAATTAATAAAGAAACACGACAGTCAAACGCTTCACACAAAAAAATAAAAGATCTAGCTGGAATGACAAAACAAAGACTCCCTTGTAGATTAACAAACGACGAGAAATGAAACGATATGGGAATTAAGCGATCTAAACAACGTAATGGGGACATTACATAGAAGAACTATTCTCGGACACACCACTAAACAACATAATATATAAAAACCATGAAACCAGTCCTCCTATATTAAAACAAGAAGTAGAGAGAGCAATCAAAAACGCAAAAAATGGGAAAGCCCCTGGCCCCGATGACATACATACGGAAGTCATAAAGCTACTGGAAAGAGAAACATTTAAATATAATCGTCAAATTATTTAATCAAATATATACAAGCGGTGAAAATTCCACAAGACTGGTTAAAGTCAGTCTTTATTCCCTTTCCAAAAGCTAAGGGAGCAAAGAAGTGTGGTGATTTCAGACTTATTAGTTTAATGTCGCATATGTTAAAGTTGTTATTCTTGAAAGTTATTCACCAACGCATTTATAAGAAATGTGAACAGGATATCAGTGATGAACAATTTGGCTTCCGAAATGGATTTGGGACACGGGAAGCATTAACCAGTTTTTATTATACTGCTGCAAAAATGTCGAGACCAAAAAAGGACCTCTTTTTATGTTTCATTGACTATCAATAAGGCCTTCGACAAAGTAAAACATGATAAGCTGATGGATTGCCTTCACAAAAAGGGACTAGACGAGAACCTAGAAAATTATCCAAACGCTGTATTTTAACCAAACTGCAGCAGTTAGAACAGAAGCCGGTGACACAGAAATATTCAATATCAAGCGAGGTGTACGACAGGGTGGTGTATTGTCCACCACTACTTTCAATATATATTCGGAAGAAATCTTTGCACGAGCACTAGAGCAATCAAGAGAAGGTGTTAAAATTAACGGCAGAGTTCTAAATAATGTAAGATACGCCGACGACACGGCCTAATTGCAGAGAGCGCACAGGATCTCCAGACACTCTTAGATCGCGTCAGATCGATCGAAGAACAATACGGCCTCAGCATTAACGTCAAGAAAACAAAAACAATGATTTTTCTCCAAAACATCCATCCATCCACCCATGGCTTTAAACGTGAATGGTAAACATTATCGAAAATGTCGAGAAATTTCGATATCTAGGGTGCTGGATAACGAAAGATATAGATCCAGACATAGAAATAAAATCGCGAATTGAACAAGCAAGAAATGTCTTTTTAAAAATGAAACAAATGTTTACGTCCCAAACACTCAATCTCAAAATCCGATACCGAATGCTGAAATGTTACGTTTACAGCACCTTACTATATGGAATGGAGGCCCGGACCTTCAAAATCAACTCACTCAGGCGTTTGGAAAGTTTGAAATGTGGTTATTTCGAAGGATGCTGAAAGTCCCCTGGACAGCGCATATGAGCAACGAGCAGGTCCTACACAAGATGGGATACCGACAGAAAACACTTAAAAAATAATGAAAACATGGAAAACCTCATATTTGGGACACATATTACAGAAATGAGAAATACCTAAAAAAGGGAGTGGATTCACTCCCCGCCTCTCGATGCGTTAGTGTTCTGACTGTTGGACGTGAATCCCTGTCCTGGCATTTGGTTTTCACCTCTGGCTGCGTTAAGTAGTTGAGTTACTGTGACCAAATGCCCATCTTGGTAGTTAGTATTCGCCTCTGGTTGCGTTGAGTAACTGAGTTACCGTTGCTAACTACCCATCTTCCTGTCTTTTAATTTCTTTTTCTTTGTTCTGAAGAAGCTACATACAATTGTAGCGAAACGTCGAGATGAACCCACTTTTGGGTCACCCACAAATGACACGGTTCAAACCCGGAAGATGAATAAACTATAATTAAGTTTAATTTGTTGCATAATGTGATACCCAAATATATTATATAAAAAATACTCAAGTTGCTTGTACCTAAACGTACTGTAATTTCTTAGTTATTTAAAAAAAAAGAGATTCTGGTGTGTGGATTGGCTTTAGATGGACCACGAAATTATCTGGGTATGTGAGTATAAGGGGATGTATATGAGTGAGGGATTTTACTTATTGTGTGATTGTGAATAGTTTCTAGAGGGGGCATGGAATTATTTGATCTGAATCTACTTGTGGAGTATTGATGGGTGAAGAACATTGGACAGTGTGAATATTATAGTTAATTTTGCGTCGTTTTTACTACTGCATTTAGATGGACTCGCCAATTTTTTAATGACTCTTGTGCTGGACTAAATGTATAAAAATATCTATTATCTAAATTTTTAAAACGTCTCAATTCACCAAGCAGGTGGCAATTTGATGGTTTATAAAAGACGTACTGCTGCAATACATGAAAATAAGTAGTTTTCTGGATATGGTCCAATTTCAATCACCCAATTTCATATATTTTTTGGACAGACCAAAACATTAGATTCAGAAACGGGCGAATATTTTGTAAATTTCCGTAAATTTCCTGCTTATTATTAGTTATACTAATAATACCATAATCTCGAGAATCTTGCAACTCTACGCTACTGCTTGCTCTAACGAAAAGATGGTAAAGAGCAAAAGGGAGATAATTACATTTTGGCGGGACGAAAAGGGACGAAAGCACAACAGAAAAAAATAATTACTCTTTGTGGGATTAGGTCCCAAGGATTTTCGAATTGAAGTCGGGAATTTTAATTGGTACACGCTGCCGGATGAAACAGAGTTTTTTATAATTGCGCGTTGAACGCCATTTTCCTTTTTAATTTTGGATTTGTTTTGACAAGTGTGCAAGAAGAAAGGTCATTTTGTTGACTCTGTAAAAAGAGTTCTTTGTGTCGAAGGAACAAGATTTTTGTTTAATTAAGACGGCGTGGAAACCAACAATTGAGGAAATAATCGGATGATTTTTATGATGTAATATTCCATTGGAAAGATATTTAACAAATCAATTAATAGAGACTTAATATAAAAGTACAGTAAAAATAGAGTTGAGTAGTCAAAATATGAGAACTGCATTTTGTTTATTGTTATGAGTTCACAAAAAGTTACAGATAATAATCTACATGCTGCTACATGCTTTATATCAAATTAAAGGCTATTTTTTATTATGATGATATAAGATTGCCTGAGAAAAAATGGTGGCAAATTAGGGATGCAATTTGTTAAAAACACGAGATATGCTTTACTCATGCTTTAAAAAAACTCACACGACTACTGACACTAGCCATGTCAAAACCAGTGGCGCTACGCACTAGCTCTCTTTTACTGCTTCTTTGATACCTTCTTGGTTTAGAACCTTTAGTCAGGTAATTACATACAAATATTAGTATTCATTAATTCAGGATTGTACAAGAAGGACACTTTTTACGCTCAGGGGTTCATCAGAGCGACTTCATTATAAAACACAGGACATAGACCATGGTTAGATAGGGTGTTCAACAAACAGGTACACATACAACGGAAATATCCATTCAACACGATCAATTTTTAAATTCACAGAACTTTAATTTAATTTTTTGCAGAAATACCATAATCAATTTAAAAAATTTTGTATCATCTTTACTGAATAGTACATATAAAATTAATGGCTTCTTTTAAACCTGTCTGAAAGTTCCTTAACCCATACAAATTTAACATCATATTGAAATATTTAATATAACTATCATCATCATTGGCGCTACAGCCCTTTCGTGAGCCTTGGCCTGCTTCAAAACATTCTTCCATCCCTTCCCCTATCATCATCTTCTCCAGCCCCTCACTCCAATCTCCCTCAGATCTTCCTGTACATCGTCCAGATATCTGAGTTTAGGTCGCCCCCTTCTTCTTCTTCCGACCGCCTGTTTAGCGTAGTTATTTTAGTGGGATCACTCTCATCCATCCGCATAACGTGGCCCATCCTTAGGCGATTTATTTTGATGGTCTTCACAATATCTGCATCACCAAAAAGTCTATAGAGTTCAAAGTTATAATCGCCTTCTCCACAGACCATGTTCGTTTACTCCGTCATATATGGTCCTTAAAACTTTTCTTTCAAAGACTCTTAGTAACTCTTCATCTCGGTCGTCATTGCCCATGTTTTCCGATCCGTAGTGATGGCACTGGGCGTATTATGGTTTTATAAAGTTTGCACTTGTTGCTATTGACATACTTCTCGCTCTTAGTTGACGGCCCAGGCCAAAATAACAGCGGTTAGCCACGCATATTCTTTTCTTTATCTCTTGATGTGATCAGATTAATTACATCCAATTTAACAGCAATATAAATATAGAGCTGTTAATTGTGGCTTTAAAGTTTTGTAATGTATTTAATACTGACTATTTCACTAGACTATTTTTAACTGATAAAACGTCATACCAACGCCACGTTTCCTACTGACAAAACTCCTTCCTGTACGTGATTTCTTTGACAAACGTCACTGAGGGTATTTAATTTTGGACACATGTAATGAATCCAGATGAAAAATTAAGAGTTGGATGCCAGTCAGATATAAAAGGAAGGAAGAAATAAAAAAATTGGTTTCGGAAAATCCCATTGAACACGCAGCAGGTCCAGAAGCTCTATTTGGACTTAATTTTCGAGTTCCTACAGGTTAGAAATTTTACTCTTGAAAGATGTACTACCAATACCGCAACTAGCAAAAATTCTCGAGATTATAAGGGCGAAGACCTATAAGGAGTTCGTCATGTAAAGTCAATGTGGAATACTACAGCAAAAATGGTACAAGAAAAATTTTACGGATACGGCATAAAAATCGACCCCTTCACAGATATAATCTTTCATATGTGCAATATTGGCCAGAGTTACCAAGCGAATGCAGCTTCAAAAAGTATTCAAGATAAAAGAAAACTCAGTTGAAAAGCATTATACACCGAAGAACTATTAAAAATCATCCAAAGCTACGACGGGAAAACCCCGATGGAGCACTAAAAAGTTTTTTCACCTTTGCTTATTTGAACTTGCTTGGAGAGGCAATGAGACCGTAAACTACAAGATTCACTATTTCCAGAAGTAATTTGATGTTATAGGAGAATTTACGGGCCGAATTGAATAGAACACAAATACAACTAAAACAAATCAAAGTGGTTCGAAAAATTTGGCAAGCAACAAATGGCTGGTGAGAAATTTATCAAACGAAAATTTATGCCAAGTTAGATTATTTTTGAAATTAATGGACCAAAGATTTTATCAGACAGACTCTTTCTTACCGTTCGTCCCAACTGGAAGGATAGATCTTGGTTCAAAAACTGTCCAGTTGGAATCAACCACACGTAACTAAGTGGACAAAAATGTTAGCAGAAAAAATTGGAATAGACAGAAAAAAATATAAAATAACCAATCATTCTCATCGATCTTCAGCTGTGTAAGCCTTGTTCAAGCAAAGTGTTTCTGAACAGGAGTTAATTAAATTAACGGGTCACTCATTAAAACCATATTTGCAACTGGATTCCAGTCACCACCAGAAGTTGTTCGAAAATCTCAGAAAAACAAATGATGCTGGACATTCGAGTTCCTAAATGCTACAGGTCAATAATACACAAAATCATGATTTGGTAAAAAAGAATGGGGAAACTATTATAGCTTATAATAATTGTACATTTAATATTGTTAACAAATAAATAAAGATTATGTTTCACTGATATGGTGCATTCAATTGTCTCCTGAAATAGTCTTGTCGATTATCATTTGAGAGAAAATTATTGACCGGCAAAATTTTATTCTGGTTTATTAAAATTTGTTGCCTTTTGGAAATGTTCACTTATGAAATTGTGAGAAAATCAATTAACTGACGTCTCATGATTTAACTCTCAAAATTTAATTCGCAAGAAATTGCCATGCAACAAACTTTTATACCAGTCAAATATAACGCGGGCACATTTTATTATTTAGTTTTCACAACTTCATTTCACTGGTTTCCACAACACCATTTAAGTGCTTTAATATATAGCACATGCGCTCCACCAGTGCGAATCTAGACATTAGCTTTGGGAGAAGAACTTCCAATGAAACACCAACCAAAAGACATAAAAAAGATAAACCCAAACTACACAAAAGACATACACAACAGTTTTTCTTTAATTTTAGACCTTCTTGGGGGGAATTTTCCTATTCTCTTCCGTGTATCCGATCCTGGGCACCACGCGTTAGTTCGAATCTCCCACATTCAATATTCGGGTATGAATACGGGGATATACCAAGAACAAATGAAATTTTAAATTAAAGATTAATGATTAAATATTAAATATTTAGTTGCTAGAAAAGTCTGCCGCCAACTGTTTCTAGAAGAAAAATTCAAAAAATTATAATAAATAATTGTAATAAATTGTAATAAATAATATAACAAAGAAAAAATAGGAGGAGTTGGACTTCTTATACATAAGAGTACACTAAAAATATCCAACAACTTAAAGCACAGCTTTAAGTTGGTTTAACAAAAAAAAACAGCCTTAAAATAATTCAAGCCGATGCACCTACATCTACACACTCGGACGAGGAAGTGGAAACCTTTTATGAAGACCTAGAAAAGGCAGTAAAACTGGCGCCTACTACACACAACCTAGTAATGAGTGACTTTAATGCTAAGTTGGGATGTAAACTGGACAGGACCGAAGTTGCAATAGATCCCTACGGATTCTATAATACGAATTTAATAACTAGATGGGTCTCTTTCTAAAATTATTTAAATTTTAAACATTTTATACAATAATAAGTAAAATAATAAACGGCTAAACTGAAATATAATTTTTATTTTTTTTATTTCAGAATCGCATAATTAAAGGATTGCCAACTAGTGTTACGAATACCGCAACCACAAGGAAACCAAGATCGGGTAGGGCTGCTGCTCCAGATCCTGGAATAGCTCCAGAACCACCGGATAAAGGTAAGTACAATGAATCACTCAGTCAAAGATTATTTATATCATTTGCTACGGCAGACCCTTTGAACAAAAAACTCAATTCGCGGGATTCAATGAGTCAAGTTAGTCCCTGTGATGGACGATGATATAACGTTGTCGATTCTACATCAAAATTTCAAATATCGTCACTAAAAATGGAAACTAGACAATTTATGTACAAAAGCATGGGAATATCTAAACGTTATTAATAAACTCTTTAAACACCATGTGCATAAGGTTTTACGTCTCCCTCTATAATATGCTGTTTAGTTTTTTTGAAAGCTTATAGTAGTTTCTTTTTATACAGCTCCGTCATATAAGCTTTCAAAAAAACTGATAGAGATTATTTTAGAACACATTAAATTTTCACCTAAATTTAGAATAAAAAATACAATAGAACTAGTTAATAAAATACAACATTTTCAATTAGCTAACAATTCCAGATTTATTTTCTAGTATCCCTCCCTACAGAAACTTTATTCTAAAAAACCTTTTAGTCCAAAATAGTGCAAATCCAATAATTACATCTGAAATTTTTCATCTTCTTGAAGTTTGCATAAACCAGGACGACTTTGAATTTAATAATCAAATATATACAAATAAGAGTGCAGGACCTATAATGGGCAATCCTGTAAGCCCATTGCTATCAGATATTTTTATGGATTATCTAGAGAAAAAGAATTCAAAACATCCCTTATTTAAACAGTTTTTATATTGGTGGAGATACATAAGTTTTTTAGATTTAAAAATTATCAGACCTAAAAATAAACATGACTTCTCCATATTTCATAAACCTACCCATACTGACAGGACTATACACAATTCATCATCCCATCCAACACAACATAAACTGGCAGCCTATCATAGTATGTTACATAGATTAACCAGAAATTTCACCAGATGTCAAAATACAACTTTGAGACATAATTAAATATAATTAGGCAAGTAGAAGTTAAATAACGGATACAACGAACAAACAATTAAAAACTACACAAGAAAGCCCTGAAATTAGTATTTCCACCACCAGAGAAAAAACCCAGTACCTTCTGCTCGATTACATATACAGGCAAAATATCAACAAATATAGCCAAACACATAAAAAAGAAAGAAATAACACCAGCTTTTCCAACAAATAACAACCTAGGCAGATATATTAAAAACAACAAGGACCCAAAAATAAAAAACACTTACACAGTAGTGTGTACAAACTTAAATGTGGCGACTGCCCAAAAAACTTACATGGGTCAAACTGGTAGAAACTTTAATAAATATACAGTATTTAGCATTAATAAATATAGCATAATAATAATAGCAGAACATAAAAGGGCTTTCAATAATAGAAAAACAGATTCTACATGCGCACCTTCACCTTCTAGATCACAATCATTCTTTTAAGGACGAATTTAAAATTCTTCACATTCAAAATATACACCTTAAGCTATCCTTGTTAGAATATATGGAAATCGACAAATTAAAAAACACAGATATAATTCTGTATGACCAACTTGAGACAAACAGTTTTCCCCTCCTCAACCTATTTCATTAGAGACTATAAAATGTAAACGCATGCCAAAAATAGATCAGTTGAGAAAGGCAATCAGCGAAACAGCTGTAGTGATAAGAGTTTAAAATAAATTTTGTGGAAGTTTGAAAACGAAGTTTTTAGTGATTTATTGTTACAAATATATAGAACATTAAAAATTGTCGAATTTATATACATTTTTAAGAAAGGATAAGAATTGTATACAATTACATTAATTAACTTAAATAAATGAACAGGACGTATCGAAGCCAAAACTAAAATTATGATTTATAGCAAATTATTGATATTAAATCCACCTATTTCTATACAACGTCTTTGTCCATCAGATCTGTAATTGATCTCTATAAATCCATTTCTTTCAATCGACGTCATAATGGAATAATCAACAGGATTAAAATCAAGTGATATAAATGACCATGCATGACGCCCTCGTGTCCTATCCACCTATTTCCGTAAGATGTTGACGACCATCAACTTGTAAATTTGGTGATTCCCCATCATGCATAAAGTACATACTTCGTGGCGTATATAAGAAATCTCATAGTCAAATTGATTTTTTTATTTAAAATTTAAGTAATCGTGTGAGGAAAAAATAAATATGCCATTTTAATTTCTGCTTGTCTAATATGTAAAATTTCTATTAGAGTTTTCAAAAGCATACAGGGTGAATTTTTTTCTATGGACAAAACGAACTACAGTAGTCTCTCTTTATATCGATCCCTATATAACGATAATTCCTCTATAACGATGAAATAGTAAACGTTGGTTGGTTCGTCATAAGGACAATGTGTTATTCTTTCTCTTTACGTATTGTTCTCTTCTTATAGCGATAACTTTTCAGCGTTCAATAGTCGATGACTTTTGAAGTGACGTGTTTAAAGTCAAGACTACCAGTCACGAGTGGTAGCAGGTCATTGTCTAGCGGTTGTTTTGCTTTGTGCTTAAGGAATTCGGAATCCCATTCTACTCTTCTTATCAGAGGGTTAAGTGACTCGCTTTTAATTGTTCGGCGCGGCATGACTAATTATTATCACACAAATGTTGTCATCTATTAACGACTTTTCATTTCCAGTTTGAGTTGTGTATCAGTGTATTAACATAAACATGTTTTCGAAAAAGCGTAAAGTGCTCTCAGTGGAGGAAAAGTTATCGATAACTCGAGCAATAGAGAAAGGTGAAAAGCAATCGGATGTCGTTCGCCGACGGGGCTGTCTCAGTCAACTGTGGCTCACGATTTGGAAGGACAGAGAAAGTGGTTTGAAGCGGAGATGGAGGGCCGGTAGCAGGAAGAAGTTACGGAAACCTCCAGCATGAAGATTAATAGATCGCGCTATGCTTCAGTGGTTCCCGCAGCAGCGAATGAACCTATTCCACTTTTTGGGGCTAATGGTCAGGTCAAAAGCTGAGTTTTTTGCAATTGAGCTTGAAATTGAGAATTTTAAGCCCTCTGAGGGTTGGCTGAGCAAGTGGAAGCTGTGGCACAAGATTAACTACGTTGAAAATCATTTAAGAGCTCACGATGTTAACAAAAACGTAACGGATTATGGCTAGAAAACGTGTGGCCTGGACTGAAGGCACGATAATGCGTCAGACGACATTTTCAATGCTAATAAGACTGGATTGTTTTTTTAAATGACACCAAACAGAAATTTAAAATTTAAATCGGAAAGTGCGTTGGTGGAAAGCTCTCTAAGGAACGCATTACAGTTAAAGTGGCCGCCAACAATGACAGGTTCGTGAAGCGAAATTGTTAGTGATAGGAAAGTCGAAAAACCCACGTTGCTTTAAAAACATAAAAAAATCTAGCGATGACCTATAAAGCAAACAAAAGTGCGTGGATGACTTGCCGAGAGTGTAATAAAGAAAGTGGAATATCGAGCTTAAAGGGAAAAAATTCTGCTAGTAGACAATTGTCCGTGACTGAACCTGTACTGTGCCACCTTCAAAACATTGAACTTTGTGTTTCTGCCAGCAAACAGAACAAGTGTCCCTCAGCCCATGGACCAAAGTGTCATCAAGAGTTTGAAAAGCCATTACATGAGAAGACTTTTGATGGAATTGGTTCAGAACAATGGCGATCTTAAACTAAACATTCTTGACGTCATCCTAATAATTAGAAAATCCTAGGACGAGGTGACGAGCAATACAATACAACAGTCCTTCAAACACGCAGGATGGCTGGAAAGTCAAGGATTGACAGATGATGAAGATGACCTGCCAGGTAGATGTTTGCGGCAGAGAGTTTGAACTTACTATCAGCTACGGACCCGAAGAGCTAACAGATTTTGAAGATGAATGAAAATGTAGCTACAACATCTGAACTTTTTGGCAAGGAAATCCTACAAGCAATTCATGTATAAGAAGAAAACAGTGACCTGAAGTGAAGCAGAGCTGGAACCAGCTCCGACCCCCTCAGCAGGCATTGGATGCGCATAAGTACTGCATCGATTCTTCATTAACCAGGAAGACGATATGAGTGCTATGAAAGATTCTATGCGTCTAAAGAACAAGGTCAGGTCAGTTCTGTGGAAAGGGAATAGGAAAACAGACCAAAGTGACGGACCTTTTTGGTAATATAGGCTGAATATATTTTACAGTAGCATATTATTTTGTTGCTGTACAGTACACATATTTTAATTGTACAGTCATTTTTTTATACTGTATTTATTGATTATGTTCATTCTCTAATAAATCTATGTGGTGTACAATACAGTGTTAAATCATTTATGTTCGTTTGATAATTTGTTTAAATTAAAATAGGTTATTTAGTACAGTATAATTAATATTACAGTACCGAATTTTTTGTTTCTCTGTATAACGATCTCTCCTTATAACGATGAAAACTCCCGGTCCCTTGCATATCGTCATAGAGAGAAGGAGGACTGTAGTTTTTGTAAAACCGGACCTGATTTTTTCTAGTTTGAATAGGTCAGTCGATTAGATGGTAAGCTTGACCAAAACACATTAAACTTACAGTTAAAAAGGTTTGACAAATAGAAATCTCTTGAACTTGAAGACTTAAACTCCAACTTCGTAAAACATCGATTTGTCTGTAACAAGCACTCACAATGTTTAGTATAGTATATAGGCAAAATAATTGAGGTTCAACAAGGCACACCACTTGTAAAAAATTGCTAACAATTTTCTCTCAATAATTATTTCCGACAATTTAATACTTATAATGCTGTCACACAAGGAAAAGATAGTCTATTATGGCTCAGCATTGATTATAGTCTACAGTATTTATAATTTGTAGTATCCTTTATTACTTTTCGTTACAAGTAATCGCCGTCCCTGTCTACTGTCTGAAGAAAATAGCAAGAAAAGAAAAATCAGCGTGAGTCAGCGAATCGGGACGGACGTAACCAGTCATCTGCACAAACTGCTTTATGAGACTTAATTTCAGAGTTGATTATCACGACGCGACCATTTACCCATTACCTACTCATTGGAGCTGTTAAAATCGAGGCAACGTTTTATTTCAACTTCGTCGATTGTTTAAAAGAAAGATGCTATCTCTAGTTTCGTGCTGAACGATAAGCCGTAGGTCGTTAATGCGAGGAA